TGGTACTGGGGATTGGACCCAAACACTGAGCCACACATCCTCAGCCCTTTTAAATATTTTATTTAGAGACAGGGTCTCACTGAGTTGCTTAGGACCTTGCTGAGTTGCTGAGGCTGGCTTTGAACTCGCGACCCTCCTGTCTTGGCCTCCCAAGCTGCTGGGAGTACGCCACGGCACCCGGCTCAACACTCATTCTTAAGAGGCCTGTAATAATCTCCAGCAGAGGAGAGAACAGTGCAAGGAGGCGAGCTTGAGCACAAGGTAGTGGGTCCTCCTCCCACTGGGGGAGAAGCAGCAGGATGATGTACAAACGCGCAGTGACCTGGGACAAGTCACTCACCTCTCGGGTCTGTTTCTTCCTTTCTCGCATAAAGGTAGCAGTTACTAATTACCCTCCTCGTGGGCTGTTGTAAGGACCAGGAGGCTATGGCTTTGGCAGAGGCTAGGCCTGTGCAAAGAAACCCGCAGCAGTGGACTCTCCTGATGACCACACCCTTCCACTAGCAAGTAAAGCACTTTCCCACCCATTCTCTCAGGCTGTGACCAGCTGCCACACGTGTGGGTGAGGCAAGGTGACCATGGTTAGGATCAAGGTAAAGGAAGACTGCCCTCACTTGGCACAGAGAAGACAGGGCTGATTCACCTCACTTGGTCACCTGGCTGAGGGCTCAGGTGATGGGGACAGAGGAGCAGGGGGAGCCTGTTTGGAGCGACCACGAGATACAATCTGGGATGCCTACAGGTGCCAGGGAAAGGAGTGGGCTGCACAGAGCCAGTGCTAGCAGGTATGAGAAGGAGCTGGAGGAATTTAGGTCATTATTGTTAATGATCACGCTCTGGAACTTGGGAAAATTCTGGTTAAAATTCTAAAACAAGATGGGCATAGTGGTGCAGGCCTGTGATCCCAGCAATTCAGAAGGGTGAGGCAGGAGGATTGCAAGTTCAAAGTCAGCCTCAGTAACTTAGTGAGACCCTGTCTCAAAATAAAAAATAAAAAGGGCTGGGGATGTGGCTCGATGGTAAAGCACCCCTGGATTCAGTCCCCATCCCGGGTGGGGGTGGAATCAAGAGACATTCTCACAGGACATGATTATACAACAATTTATGGGATGTTATTTATCCCCAGATAGAATCTGTAAGAGGTGATACCAGTTGTGAGGCTCAGTTTGCTGATGAGAACACGGAGGCTCTTCACCCTTCCTCTGTAGCAGACAAGGCACCAAAGCAGCTGGGAGCTGAGCTGCCCGCTGGGGCCCGTGCAGCAGGACTAACTAAACCTGCATACGTGCATCTCCTGCCTCTTGTCTCACTTCCTGTCCTGCCTCTTCTCTAAGATCCTGCTCACCTTCCAGGATTGTGAAGAGGGAACTTTTGAAATAATTAAGTTTCTTCCATCTTCCTTCAAAGTTGACCTTGAATAAAACCTATTTTCCTACCAATTTGAATAGTTCAGGAGTAGCAAGCACTTCCTGAGGGGTATTAGAACCCCTTAGAACCCCTATACCCCTGATTCCTCCTTACAGAGACCACCCACCTTTCACTGCCTTCTCTAAGATTCACTAAACAATTGAATGACTCAGTCTCCAACAGGTAGGAGCCCTAATTTACAGCTGAGCCTCACGGAAGGAGCCAGATTGGCAGATAATTTCTCACTCCTGGCAAATCCCCAACACTCCAAGGGCAGACCGCAGGTCAGTCCTAGAGAAACTGGAACACACACCTCTGAATTATGAACCCTTAGACTGTCTGTGGCCACTGAAAAGCATATTTTGAACACCACCAGCTGCTCCATTGAGCAGACAGGACAGTGAGTGAGTTTTTCTGCTGCCTCACAGCAGTTCCAAGTTCCCCTTCAGAGAAGCTCTGCCTCCCACAGGAGTCACCCCCTCCATCCTGGTTGGCCACTAAAGCTTCAGCTGTTTTCAAGGTTCCAGAGTGTTCTATCTTTTGTGTTTCTGGGGGCAGAAAATTGAATCTCTTCAATGAGCTGCTGAAATAACCGCCAGAAGGCTTTACATATCTCAGTACAAAGCAATGCATTTGTTTCTGGCACTTGTGACAGGCAGCACCCAAACACTGAAGAATATTTTGATCTTGGTCTCTGAGTGACAAGTGTCCCTCCACAGCACCTGTTCCGTCTGTACTTTTGGGAGCTGACATTTGTAGAGCCCCATCACATGCTAAGCGCAGCCCAGAGCTTCGTAGGTGAGTATGTGACCTCATTCATGAAGGCCAGAAAGCTTTGCTCGGTGCCCTCTGTGCTGGGCCTGTCCTCAGAGACCACGAGGCGAGGAGACGGAGGACGCGGAGAGGCTGCGTATCTACATTTTAAGGTGTGGGCGTCCTAAACAATACCTGAACCCTTGGACGTGTGGAAGAGGACAAGCACGGGACAGAGGAAGGGAGTGGGCTGAGGGGCAGTGAGGGGCAGGGCGTCGGGGCAGCCTGGGCAGTGGAGCTGGAGTCGGAAGCACAGGAGGAACCAGACATCCCTCAGAAGCCAGAGGAAAGCATCTTCCAGAAAAGATGACAAGGGGCACGAAGGCCCATTGGGCATATGTCTGGGTGTCCAAGGGGCACAGGGACGTCCAGTGGGCTGATGGTCAGGTATCAAGGGAGGGAAGGCCATGGTGGCCAGTTCTGCAGGGCATTTCACGCCGTGGAACGAGACCAGATCTTCTTCCAAGGGCAATGAGAAGCTGTTGGAGGTTTTAAGCACAGAATGGCCCTGCCTAATGTCTGTCTGCAAAAGTCCTTCTGGTTCCTGTGTGGACACTAGGCTGGGGCTACAGATAAAAGGAGCCCAGGTGGCGGCTCCTAGAGCCAGCAGGGAGATGTGAGGCACCCCTGGTGAGGCCCAGGGCAGCTGAGAGCCCACAGAGAGTTCTGAGAGAGGCCAGGGAGGGGAAGGTCTGGGGGGAACTAGCATATGGATAGCGTTTGAAGCCACCAAACCTTCTGAGGTCACTAAGGGAGAACAAATCAATACAGCAGGGAAGGGGACCCAGGACAGATTGGATCAGCAGGATAGGGAGCCACCAGAGATGACTGAGAATGGGCAGCGAGCAACAAAGGAAGGTCTGGCAACTGTGTGACAACACAGAATCAAGAAATCAAGAAACTTTTTTTTTACATTTCTGGGGATCCAACCCAGGCCTTATGCATGTTCAGGACTGCTGAGCTGTGTGACCAGGAGAACAAGGGACAGCACTGGTCCAACCACTGTGGAAAACAATAGGTCGGGGAGGGGGTCTTTAAAAAAGTAAAAATAAGGCTGGGGATGTAGCTCAGAGAGAAAGAGTGATCTGGGTTCAAGCTCCAGTACCACAAAAAGAAAAGACAAGAAACTAAAACTGGATCTACCATATGATCCAGCCGCCCCACTTCTGGGTACATAACCAACGGAAGCAAAATCTGGACATCAAAGAGGTGCCCACCCTCCCGGGTTTCTTGAAACACTATCCCCAATAGCTGAGACATGGAATCAACCTAGGTGGCCATCTAGGGACGAGTGGGTAAGAAAACAGGATGTGTACAACACGGCAGTACCATTCAGCCAGGAAGAGGAATGGAATCCTGTCGTTTGCAGCAAAATGGATGGAACTGGATACACAAGGGAAAGAAGCCAGAAAAAGAAAGAAAAGCAGGTTCTCCCTTACATGTGGGAGCTAAAAAAAAATAAAGAAAGAAAAAAGAGAAAGAAAGAATAGTAAAGAAAAGAAAGGTCCATCTGAATGCAGGAGAGTGATTCCTAGAAGCCAGGCAAGGCCAGGCAGTGGGACAGAGGTTGGATAACTGGTAGCAGGAGAGTTAGAAGGAAGGCATCGTGCAGCACAGTGGGGTTGTTCACAAGAGCCCATTTCCTGAAGATCTAGAAGAGAGGGACTCGAAGGCTCCACACTAGAGAAATAATAAGGAAACAGAAAGCTGATCACTCGGATGTGAGAACCCTGTATGCAGGTGTTAATACATCACTGTACTTCACTGATATGTACGACAATTATGTGTTAATTTAAAAATGTAATTTTAAAAAAGACAGTGGGCATGCCCTGTCCTGTGAAACCCTCTGTAGGACTGACCCTCCAGGTGGCAAGAGTGGCCCAATGGCCAGCGTGGTTAGGGCCCCATTTGGAGGCACACTTGCAAGGTGGGGAAAGGAGATGTGGGGACAGATAAGTCTTTTAAGAAGTCCTGGGGTGGGGTCAGGCACAGGGGCACATGTAATCCCAGCGACTTGGGAGGCTGAGGCAGGAGAATGGCAAGTTTGAGGCCAAACTAGGCAACTTAGTGAGACCCTGTCTCAAAATAAATAGAAATGGCTGGGGATGAGGTACAGTGATAGATTGCCTCTGGTTTCAAAAACAAAAGAAAGAGAGGAAGGAGGAGGAGAATAAGAAGATGAAAGAAAGACCTGGAATTGGCAAATTTTTTTCTTCTAAGAAAAAAAAAGACAGATAATAATATTTATCTCTGCCAGTCACAGGTTCTCAATAATCACTATATTCAACTCCACTATTTCAGTACAGAGATAGTAAATAAGTGGGCTTGGCAGTGTACAATAATTCTGTTTACAAAAGCAGGGAAAGGCTTCATTCATCTCATCAGACTATGCCTTGGACATTTGTTTTTTCCAGCTCTCCAGAAAAAAAAAAAAAGCTATGATTTGTGGCATTTGATTAATCGCATGCTACCCATGTGACTTTTCTAGGAAAAATGCTAACAAGAGCAGGTGAGATGGTAACTCACCCAGGACACCAGCATGATCCAGGCCGCGTTTGGGCAGAGAGTGGAGTGCCCACAGGAACTGGAAGAGGCCCGTGGCAGAAGCCCCTAGAGCCCGTGGGTACAGATGGGTTGGACCAGCCCAGACAAGACCTTGCAGGAAAGTCCCCACCAACAGTGAGAGGACGCTTCCTCAATGTGACAGGTGTTTTGTTTGGGCTGTAAGGAGGCGTTCAGGGTGGGGGGACAGGGCAGCTGCCACAGGAGACACAGTGAGCAGGGTAGCAGGACTGAAAAGGCGAGAATACAGCACCTATAGGAGGGACACTGAGGAAGGGCAGAGGAAGAGCAGGGGTCAAGGTGATGGCCAGGCTGTAGGTCTGCCCTGGGGACTGCTGGGGAAGAAGAGGCAGGAAGCCCCCTGGCATGGCAGCCGGGGCAGAAGGCTGGGCTGCTGCTCCCCCACTGCTGACTGCCTTCCTTCCTTTCTTCTTTTTTTATTTATCTAATTTTATTTTTTGTGCTCCTGGGGATTGAACCCAGGGACACTCTACCAATGAGCTACACCCCAGTCCTTTTTTTTTGAGACGGGGTCTTGCTAAGTTGCCCAGGCTGGCCTCAAACCTGCGATCCTCCTGCCTCAGCCTCCTGAGCAGCTGGATCGCAGGGTGTGTCACTGTGCTTGGCCTGCTGCTGTGCTTCTGTGGTGGCCCCTCAGTGCTCCATCATCCACGGGCCATTGCGGCCTACAGGACCCCTCACTGAAAAGATGAGGTAGAACCAGGGCAGGGGCACAGAGATGTGCTGTTGACAAGAGGCCACTGATGCTCTAGAGGATCCAAGGTGTCTGCAGCTTGGAGCTTCCAGGGGTCCCGGTCTAGGCCTCCCCCTTTACCTGAGGGCGGTAGGATCTCCTGCCCTGGAACGTCTTCTTAGGAGTGAAGAAAGAGAAATATCTTCCTAAGGAAGGAAAGAAGCTGTTCTTTAGTCCCTTCTGGCCATGGGATGCCAAGATTGAAGTCAGGAGTTTGGAGACAGTCCCTTCCTGCCACCAGGGACTCCACAAGCCACCCCCACCAAACTCTCCCCTGAGCACAGTCTCAGGTAATCTGGAGCCTCTCTGTGCCTTCCACCTGCTGAGTGACCTCAGCAAGTCACCTCACCTCTCAGATCCTGAGCTTGAATACTGTCTATCATGAAGGGCTGTCCAGCTAATTAAGGCAATATCATCCGGGGATTGGAGATTGCGGTGTGCAGGCAAGCATGCAGCTCTCATGGGAAAAAAAAAAAAAAAAGGACTGGTTCCCAAAGAAAAACAACCTGGAACCCTACAAAATCACAATGAGTAAATGTGGGGTGAAATGAATGAATTTCCTTATAAAAGAAAATCTAGGGCTGTGCGTGCTTAGGCCCTGGGGTTCCACCCCCAGTACCACAAAAAATGTTAACTATTAAGCCCATAACCTGTTAAACTTAATATTCATTAAAATGTCATTAAATTTGAATATAGGCAACACTGGAATTTTTTTAAATGAAGACAATTAAAATTAGGTTTTTTTTTTTTCCACATTGAAAAATATCCCTGGGGCTGGTGTGGTGGCTCAGCGGTAGAGCACTTGCCTAGCACAGTCAAGGCCCTGGGTTCGATCCTCAGCACTACATAGGAATAAATAAATAAAGATATTGAGTCCAACTACAACTAATGTGTTTAAAAAAAAAGAAAAAAGAAAAATACCTGTGTGTGAGTATGCAGAAAAGTCAGGTGATGGCCAGGCTGTGGGTCTGCCCTGGGGACTGCTGGGAAAGAAGAGGCAGGAAGCCCCCTGGGAAGCCTGTCTGCTAAGTGGGCAAGTAATTGTGACGGCTCAGGAAGCTGACGGATGAGTGTGTCTAGCTTGAATAAGCGGTGGCTGTGCCAGCTTCTCCAGACAACAGCCGTGCCCTGCTCCGTGCCGAGGGTCGCAGTTTTCTCTTCCCTGTGCCCAGGTTGGGCTACCCCAGCTGCACTGCGGACTTGGACAATGCAGCAAATCTGACTCACTCTGTCTCCTGAGACGTTGCTGCTGGTCCTCCTACCACACGAGTCCTCCCCTTCCCCTGCCTGAGACCCTCAGACCTCAGTCAGGAGCATTCGTTGACCATGGGGGGCTGTCTGGGCGTGCCTCTGGGTGCTGCCTCTGCATCCTGTGCCCCTCATTACAGTACCCAAGCCACTGTGCCGTGATTATGGATGGTGACAGGGCCCTGGCTTGCCTCCACCACTGTGCCCCTTGGTGGTTAGCACAGGGCCTGTGATGTGACTGTTGAGTGAAATAAAAACAAGTTTCCTGGCTGTGGTGTGAGGTGGACAGTGTGGCAGCAGGTTGTCAAGAGGACGAAATAAAACAGAGAGTGCGCCCGGCCCAGTGCTGGCCTACCGTGGACACCCGTTCACAGGAATCTGCTATTTGAAAATCAAACCCTTTCCTCCCAGCCCACAAATGTGCTGCATGAACTCTAACCGCAGCTCATAGGCACTGACATTTCAGTCGGTTTGAGAGTCCCTAAGAGAGAATCTGGCCTGGGGACATCAATGGCCTGACTCCCTCTGTCTCCATAAATGGTACTGGGTGTGGCAGAGGGACCCATAACTGGTATCTTACCCTTTGCCAGTCGTTTTCTCTGTAAAATTAATTCTTCTCTCCGGAATCTCTCTGGATCCAGTTCCGAGTAGTCCCAGCTCTTATAGCTCTGGGGGCGTGGATATGTCCCTAAGGGAGTGGAGAGCCAGAAAGGGCACTAGCCAAAAAGAACGGAGGCAGACCACCCAGGACAGAGGAAGACAGAGTCTCTGAGGCCCTGCCAGTTCTGGGGCGGAGGGGCTTCCAGTACCACTCAACCCCAGGCTGGCCTGTGGCCTTGGAGGTGTCACTTCCTCTCTAGAGGACTTTGGATCTTCGTCTGGAAAATGGGGCCTGATGCCACCTGCCTCCCCTGTCTTCCCTGCCAAATGGATGGCTGGGTTGGGGTCAGATGACAGGTGTGTGACTCTCCCGTGCTGTGTAAATGTGAAGGCGCTACAGTTCTCATTCCCCCCACCGTCCCTGATTTGCTGGACCATGAGCTCTCTGGTGGCCTGGGCTGGATCTTAGTCATCTTTGGCCTCCAGGGTTTCCTGCTGGGCTTGGTGCATAATAGGTAGTAGCGAGCAAATGTTAAGCAGGAGCTGGGGATATAGCTCAGAGGTAGGGCTTGCCTAGCATGTGCAAGACCCTGGGTTCTGTCCCCAGCACTACAAGGAAAAGAAATGAGAAAAAAAAAAAAAAGGGTTGTTAAACGTGTTATGACACTTTCAGTTAAGTGTCAGAAATGGGTTCTCAGGAACGGTGACGCTTCTAAGGATCCTTAAGACACTTGGGCCCCTGAGCAAAGCCGTGGTTCCTTGGACAAAGCCAATGGAATCCTTGATTACTGAGGATGAGTTGGAAGAAGATAAAGCCTTGGGCAAAAGACTGGGAAAAAGGAAGAGCGAGGCGAGGGTCAGAGAACGGGAGGCAGAATGTCACAGTGGTCAGAGGCCTAGTTTGGGAGGGACCAGCCCTGGAACTAATCCCTGCCCCTCCTTTGCTGTTGAACTTCATTGATCTTCCATGTTAAGAGGATTAAATGGGTTTCAGAAAACCATGATGGTGGAATGTGATGGACATCATTATCCAAAGTACATGAATGAAGACATGAATTGGTGTATACTTTGTACACAACCAGAGATATGAAAAATTGTGCTCTATATGTGTAATAAGAATTGTAATGCATTCTGCTGTCATATATAAATTAAAAAATTAATTAAAAAAAAGAAAAGCATTAGTGGGGGCTGAGGTTGTGACTCAGAGTAGAGTGCTCGCCTAGTACGCGTGAGGTCCTGGGAAAGAAAGGAAGGAAGGAAGGAAGGAAGGAAGGAGGGAGGGAGGGAGGGAGGGAGGGAGGGAGGAAGGAAGGAAGGAGAAAGAAAGAAAGAAAGGAGAGAGGGAGGGAGGGAAGGAAGAGAGAGAGAAAGAAAGAGAGAAAAGAAAAGAAAAACATTAGCACAGCAGGTCTGAGACTGCTGGCCTTAGAGAGGCCTTAGAAAAGCCTGCTAGACTGGCTCTTGGCTGGTGGCTGGGAAGTTGACGGGTAAACAGTTCCTTACATTGATACAAAACTTTCTCTGATACCAAGAGGGCTCACTGTGCCCAGATTGCATGGTGTGGCTTATGCCACACACCTTCTTTTCTAGAACTGTGAGAAGTACTGATGAAACTTTGTCCATTTCATCTTTAATGGGCAGCGAGATCACATACAAGTTGCTACATTTTCATGGCAGGAGGAAGAGTGGCTGCGTGGGACTTTTTGTGGGAGGGGGACAGCACAAAGGAGCCTGTCTTTCACCCTGGGATCCAGCCGAGTATCCTTACTGCATCCTTATTCATAAAGCTCAGCCGTGACTTCAGCTGTGTGCTGAGACCCATGAATTCTTCTAATGTGTGTGGGGAGACTTTGGGAACCCCAGCACAAGAGGACAGGTTAAAAGTGCTTACTTGGCACAGAATCTGGCACAAAGGAACCTTGCAATAAATAGAAGTTTTCAATGACCTTAGGCAATGTCTAGGCTGAGCTGGGGCAGTGGGGAAGGGCACTGAAGGGTGGCTGTGGGTGCTGGATGGAGAGGCCATGGTGGGCCCCTTGGTCACATGGAGGGTAGAAAGCTGGGATTATCTAACCAGCTACTGCTTTTGAGTCCTTCAACCCATGGCACGTGGCTAACTATCAGGGTTGAGCTGAAACTTGGGTATGTGTTAAGAGAGGCTCCCAAGCTCCCTGTAGATGTAGCTGGGCCCAAACCTGGATTAGAAGGGGTTTCTTGGGACTGCCTTGAGGCAGCAGGAAAACTCATGCTCCTGGGGGCTCTCACCAGACACTGTACTCTCGTTGGTATTTAGGAAAGGAAAGGAAGATGGCCCTGATGAAGGCATGATGGCCCATGAGAATCACCTAGGCTCTGGTGGACAGCATCCTTCCGGAACTGCAGCCCCCGGGAGCAGCAGCCAGCTCTCACCTGTCATCCACAGGTTGATGGTGTCGCAGATGTCCGACTTGAATTCGTGGGTGTTGAACCAGGACTGTGGGAAGCAGCAGCAGAAGCTGGTGTACAGGGCTTTGCTCAAAAGTGACGGCAACCTCTAGGGGGACAAGCAGAGCTCAGGCAACCTTCTCGACAGGTCAGAGCCCTGAATTCAGAAAGGACCTGCACTAAAATTCTTTTCCATGGAGAAGCTGCCTTCCTGCTGTTTTTTTCTTTTTTCTCTTTTCTCCTCCCCCCCCCCACCGCCCCAGTACTAGGGATTGGACCCATGGTGCTTTACCACTAAGCTATATCCCCTGTCCTTTTTATGTTTCATTTTGAGACAGAGTCTTGCTAAATTACTGAGGGTCTGGCTTTGAATTTGCAATCCTCCTGCCCCAACCTGGACTCACAGGATTATAGGCGAGTACCACTGTGCCACAGTCCTATTTTTTTTTCCTTCCTTTTTAGGCACGGGAGATTGAATCCAAGGGGGCACTAAACCAGTGAGCCACATTCCCAGTCCTTTTTTATATTTTATTTAGAGACAATGTCTGGCTGAGTTGCTTAGGGCCTCACTAAATTGCTGAGGCTGGCTTTGAACTCTTTCCTACCACCTCAGTCTCCTACTGGGATTACAGGCATGTGCCACCAAGATGTGCTGGGGACAGCCCTGACTGTTTTTTTTTTGTTGTTGTTGTTTGTTTGTTTGTTTCTTGTTTTTGCAGCCCTGGGGATTAAATCCAGGGCCTTGCACATGCTAGGCAAGCGCTTGACCACTGAGCTACATCCCTAGCCCCACTTCCTGTTCTTAAGGGAAGTAAGTCTGTCTTCTGCTGCCTCCATATCTCCTTATCCTATAAGAGGGTTGCTCCTCACCCATCAAGTTATGTTTGGCCAACAGCCTCCTCCCTCCCTGGAGCCCCTTTATGTGAGCCGTTAGCCCCTTCTGCAGCTTGGCCAAAGTGCATCAACAAGATGGCAAGAGATACATCCCCCTGTTACCATTGGCCAAGGCGGTAATGGGCCTTTATATCGTGTAACATGTGTGCCATCAGGATTTTTGCAGTGTGTCATTTGCCTCTTAATTTTATCTGTATTAATTTTTAAAAATTATATAAACTATTGGTCTTTTCCCTTGTTTCCTCCAAGTCATATTTAGAAAGCCCTCCCTCACCCCAGTCATGTAAAGTATACAGTCATGTTTTCTCCTAGCAATCCCTTCAGTACTTATGTTCACACACATCTAAAAAGTACATATGTATGTTCACACTTTTAATTTTAACATTCCAGGCTTACTTAAATCTCACAGAAATATATAAAATAGAAAAGGAAAGACTCTCATAACTGCAGTCCTCAGAGATAAATATTGTTAAGAGTTTGGTAAATATTTTTTCAAAGTTTCTTCTCTTCTTTGGCACGTACACATACAGTCAAGTGCCACCCAGCAATGGGGCTGTGTTATAAGAAGTGCATTATTGATTCACTTTGTCACTGAATGAACACCACAGAGTGTACTTACATAAACTAAGACTGCTGTGATGTCCCTGGGAAATATAATCTCATGTCACAGCCATAACATGCAATCCACTGTTGACCAAACTGTCACTTGTGGTGCATGACTGTGTATATATTTGAACATAGAGTTGTATGAATTGCTTTTTCACTTAAAATATATGATTATAGCTCTCCTTGTGGGTATGTAGAATTCTATTATATTTTCATAGCTGCTACATTATAAGTGGTTTCAGAGATATCATGTGGGGAGCCACTCTGAGTAACCCACACCTTCCATCCTGAAGCAAGAGGCTCTGACCAGTCATTGCATTTCATGGTGACTTGGGTGTTGTCCCAGCCCAGGAAGTAGAAGGAGTGTCTTCAGGAGCTACATTCACCTGTTCCTTTGTAATGCTACTCCTTTGCCCTGTTTGGGATAGAATGTTCCATGGAAATGCCCTTTGTATGTCCCCTTCTCTTGCTCTGCCTTTGGGTGTGGCCTTCCTAGATGTCAGTCACCTGCTGTCAGCAGACATCACAAAGCTAGACTCAACCCCCTGAAACCTGACCCCTTGCCTCCTTTGAATGGCTTCTCCTCAATGGAAGGGTTCAGCATCTGCCCCTCCCACTTTCTCTCTCCACCACCCTATCCCCCCACCCCCGCCTTAAGGTCAGAGGACCCAAAGAAAAAGCTATCTCTGTCTCTGTGTGATTATTTTGTGCAGCCCAGTTCACCTGGAGTGAAACCCTGAGTATTTTAGTTGTGAAGAAGGCGACGATACCACAACTTTCTACTTACTGCTTTATGTAAAGGATGCTTAGGGCATCCTTCGACACTAGAGGGGAACAGAATCCCAACATCATGTTTTCCTAGGCAGTGGACGATACTCACTTTCAAGAGTGCCTCCACGAAATGTGATCTGGGTTGATGAAACAAGAGGGAGGCATAGTGCCAGGCTATCCTGTCGAGAAGCCTGTTCTGGACCTCCTTGTTTGGCTGCCGGGAACAGAAATGGGGAAGGAATTATTGAGTCCCTTGTTGAGACAGCCAAGCATGACTCTCAGTTTCAGGGATCCTCTTCTCCAGCTAATGAACCTCACATGCTTTATGAAATAACCAACTCATCTTTGGCATCAGAGTCACAAAGCATGTGCCCAGAGGCAGTGTGCTGTTGAAGGAGGCACACCAACTCTGGGTCATGGGTCCTGAGTTCTATTCTCAGCACTGCCCTGGGCCAGTCACCTAACGTGGACTAGTTCCTAAAGCTTGGGGGAGCCAGAGGACATTGGGTGATGGATGATGTACGGGGTCCACAGGTAAGACCTGAGTAGGGAGGAGACAGAGTGACACAGAGCCTGCAGGGATGATCCACGGGATCCAAGGAGCTGGTAGCTCAGGTTAAAGAGGTTGGAACTTGTTCTAAAGAAAAGTAAGCAAACCAAAGAAACAATCAGTTCCTCATTTACCTGGTACCTTTCATGAAACATCCACCAAAAGCTATCCAGCCACAAGGTTCTGGGAGAAGGAGAAGAGAGAAACTTCTCTAATTCACTCTCTGAACAGAAAGACTTGGGGAAGAAAAACACAAAACCTATATTATTTTTATTTTTTAAATTCACCTTGAACCACAACCAGATTCATAATTGTCTTCACTCAAAACCTGCCTTTCCGCCCGTGCCGTGGTGGTTTGCTATTGTTACAAAGAGCACCATCTCCTGCCAGTCATCTTTGGAGTCCATAATTTTGGAGTCATCAAAAATGCTGCTCAGGGCTGGGGTCGTGGCTCAGTGGTAGAGCACTTGCCTAGCAAGTTCAATTCTCAGCACCACATATAAATAAATGAATAAAATAAAGGTTTATCAGCATCTAAAGAATATTAAAAAAAAAAAGAAAGAAAAAAAGCCACTTAATCTTGTAGTATGTGCCCACAATTTTCCTGGCCTTAAGCCAGGTGTTTTATGTATTCCCATTTAACCCTCAATAATCTTATGATACACATCCATCATCACGGACTAGGAAATGAGAGGCTAGAGAAGTCAGGAGACTGAGGACTGACGAGCTGAGAGTAACACGGCCAGCAAGTGGCCGAGCCAGGACTGGAACACTAACTCTAGTCGGGATTCCATGCCAGCTGTTCCAGCTCTCACCCCCAAGGCCAACTAACAACAACCTTCAGCAACCCACGAAGATATCATACAAACGGAAAAGACTGGACCAGAAAATTCCTCTCTACTCCTTTCTGTTTTCAGAACTATTGTTTATATAGCTCTCAGGCTTCCAAAACATTTTTTCTTTTTTTAAAAAAAAAATATTTATTTTTTAGTTGTAATTGGATACCTTTATTTTATTTATTTATCTTTATGTGGTGCTGAGGATGGAACCCAGGGCCTCCTATATGCTAGGCGAGTGCTCTACCACTGAGCCACAACCCCAGTCCCCCCCCACAGAAACATTTTTTTATATAAATCATCTTTTGGTCCTGAATATCAACAATTCACACTAAGTTGCGAGCCAGTGTTGTCTGTGTATTCCTGGTGCTTCACTGAGTTAGGCTTTTGTGTCTGTGTTAGCAGCTTTCACCACTTGGATCATCAGATTCTTCTGAGTTAATAATAAACATACGGGAACTGGGGATGTGGCTCAGTGGTAGAGTGCCTGCTTGGCATGCATGAGGTCCTGGGTTTTATCCCCAGCACTGTGAAAGGAAGGGAGGGAGGGAGGGAAGAAAGAAAGAAAGAAAGAAAGAAAGAAAGAAAGAAAGGAAGGAAGGAAGAAAGGAAGGAAGGAAGGAAGGAAGGAAGGAAGGGCATGGAATTCTAAAATTTTTAAAAAATTATCTATGAGCTCAGGGCAGCAGAAAGTTTAGCTTTCATTCTTATGTAACTGGTCTGAAACCTGCCCTTGATCTGAAGCTGCCACTGTCAGAATATAACACACAACATTTATTGGATGCTTCCTTGGTGTCTGCCACCGGGCTGTGTACCTTCATTTCTCCTCTCACTTGGATGGGAGTGATTCAGACATGGCCACAGCCAAGCAGTAGGAAGAGGTCAGGAAGAAGAGCAGGAAGGAGAGTGGCGGGGAGGAGAGGAGGAAAAGAGAGAGAGAGAGGGGAGGGTGGGTGGAGAAGTAAAGGTAGAAGAGATGGTCCAAGATGCTGGGTCCCAGGAAAGGCAGGGCAACTAGTTAAGAACTGAGGGGTCAATGACCAGAGCTGCTCTGGGGACACAGGAGTTAAGCAATTGTGATGGAGGAAGAGGCCGAGCTGTAAAGCTGCTGGGGCTACTTCCTGGTGTCCTCCTCTACTGGCCTCTTTCCTGTTCTCTCCCATCAGCATGAGCACGTGGGTCCCCTGGGCTTGGCATCCTCCCCTCCTGAGGTACCAGCAGGCTCTAGAGCAAGCTCTCATGGTACTGTACTCACCAGGAGGGGCAGGAAGAAAATATTACAGCTAATGTGTGATTAAGGAAAAAAGTTCACCTCACCAATATGCAATGGAGTAGCTGTCAGAGGAACATGTATAGAATTATAAAAAAGACATGTACCTATGAAGGTGCGTACTCCAGATGTTTTGGCAATCGGAGGATCATCAAGACCCCCTGGAGACCAGGCATCTAGGTTTTGGAGTGAACTTGGGTTGTGGTTACTCACTCAGCTTAGTTCCCTGGAGCATGTGGCCCTGAGCAGAATCCTCAGTCCCTCCTAGGCTGTGAAAGGGGGACAACTGTGCCTGCCCACCCCCTGCCACCCCTCCCATAGGCCAGAGTTGGCCCTTGGCTGGGTGGGCTGCCAGCTCTCTTTCCTTACCTTGCCACTCAAGGTGTTTTTCTCTGCCCGAATCACGTTGCCCACCATGTCGCAGAAGTCCACTCCATTGGGAAGGTTGTTGGGCCCAGAGTCGTTAAATTTGGGAGGCTGGTATAGCTCGGCCAGAAGATTCTTTTCTGCTATTTTCTGAAGCAAAAGAATGGAATGTGAAAATGGGGACCACTGTTTTGACAGTTTAAAATAGTAGAATACTTTCCTCTTTTTATTATGAAGACAGTATAGACACAGAAAATGAGAGGGTGTTCAAGACCCAGTACCCTTTAACCAAACCCCTTACCTATTCATATGATTTCTATTCTCCTTTAAGGCTTTGAGCAAATGTATCCAAATATATTTATGTACCTTTAATCATCACACACACTTTTTTTTTAAAGAGAGAGTGAGAGAGGAGAGAGAGAGAGAGAATTTTTAATATTTACTTTTTTTAGTTCTCGGTGGACACAACATCTTTGTTGGTATGTGGTGCTGAGGATCGAACCCGGGCTGCACGCATGCCAGGCGAGCGCGCTACCGCTTGAGCCACATCCCCAGCCCATCACACACACTTTTACATCCTGCTTTATCTACTTGAGTTTTTTTTTTAAATCTAGTTGCATTGTCCCCGAAATTATTAGTTAAAAAGCTATAATTTAGGGCTGGGGCTGTAGCTCCTTGGTGGAGTGCTCGCCTCACATGTGGAAGGCACTGGATTCAATCCTCAGCACCACCTAAAAATAAAATAAAGGTATTGTGTTCATCTACAACTAAAAAAATTTTTTTAAATGCTATAATTTAACCATGCACAGCGGTTCAGGCCTGTGATCCCAGCAATTCAGGAGATTGAATCAGGAGTGTCACAAGTTCAAGGCTAGCCTCAGTAATTTAGTGAGACCCTGTCTCAAAAAAAATTAAAAGAGATGGGGATGTGGCTCATCAGTAAAGCAGTAAAGTAAACCAGTAAAGGTTCAATTCACATGCACAAAATGACAACAACAACAAATAAAACACTACAATTTAATTTACTCACCAACTACTTCCAATAAACACTGCTGTCATTAATATCTTGGAGCATGTGGTTCTACTCCCCCTTGGGTCACTTATTTTGCATAAATTCCTTAAAATGGTAATATTAAATCAAAGGCTGTGATCATCTTTATAGTATTTAATATATACCATTCAATTGATTTTTTAAAATATTTTTTTTTAGTTGTTGATGGACCTTTATTGTATTTATTTATATGTGGTACTTAGAATTGAACCCAGTGTCTCACACATGCTAGGCAGGTGCTGTACTACCACTACCATTTTTTAACAAAATGAAAACGTGATGATGATAAAAATATTAAAACATAGAAAAGTAGAAAGAGGGAGTTGATTCTCCTCACCCAAAGGCACCCACTAGAAACTTTCTGTAAGACTGAACTACATATTTCCCCCCTTTTTTGGTACTTTTCCACTGAGCCACATCCCCAGACCTTTTTTTGATTTTTTATTTTGAGACAGGGTCTCAGTCTCACTAAGTTGGTTAGGGCCTCACTATTTTTCTGTAGCTGGCCTCAAACGTGTGATCCTTCTGCCTACCCTCAGCCTGCCGAGCTGCTGGGATCACAGGCCTGTGCCACTGTGCCCAGTAATGGAACTACTTTCTAACTGAGCTGTGGTACTGGCAGTGGGAGAGCAGCTTGGTGATCTGCTGCATCAACCCTGAGTCAGATGACAGCTCTGCCATTTACTAGCTGGGCCACCTTGGGCAGGACACTTATACCTGCTCAGCCACCACCAATGGTGAGTAACACAATTTCAATGCAGCCTCAACCATGAGTCTTCTTGCTGTTTTGGAATTTTCTGGTCTAAAATATAGAAAAATAGTGGGCTGAGGCTGTGGCTCAGTGGTAGAGCACTTGCCTAGTATGTGTGAGGCACTGGGTTCAATTCTAAGCACCACCTATAAATTAAAATAATAATAATAATAATAATAAAGGACCGTTGACAACTAACAAAATAGCATAGTGTTTCACACTGTCCATCATTTAAAGCTTTTTTTTTTTAGTTGTTGATGGATCTTTATTTTATTCATATGCAGAGCTGAGAATCAAAACCAGTGCCTCACACATGCATGGCAAGTTTCTACCACTGAGCCATAACCCCAGCACAAGCATTTATTTATTTATATATTTTTTGAAATGTGATTACTTTAATGCAAAACAGCAAAAAAACATAGAATAGCCAAAGATTATAAGAAAAAATTACATGTGCATTCAAATAGATCAACAAAGACTTTACATTAAGCTTTAACATTCATAATAAAGGTAAATTTCACTTGCTTAGATTAAACCTAAATAGTGGTATAAAAAGAGCATCTGCCTGACTCTTCTTCTACCACAGCAACACTTGAGAGAATTCCAAAATGATCTTTTTTCTTCATGTTTGAACTATACATCATACCAATTTTCTATATAAATGCAATTAAATTTAATTAAGTCAAATGCAAGATACACACCTATGGTTAGACTTAGGTAGCATTCTGGTTCCCACATACAGAGCATCTTCAAGGGTATTAGTGTGATCGGAGGAAGGAAATTGTGATATGAGATGAAATAGCAAAAAATAAAAGCAATGGACAGATCACAGTGATCACATAACACAGCTAAGTATTTAAATACAATTTATATGTGAAAAAAAGTAATTTCAAGTTAGGGGTTCTTTTTTAATTGATCTTTTAAAAACAAATGACAGCAGAATGCATTACAATTCTTATTACACATATACAGTACAATTTTTCATATCTCTGGTTGTATATAAAGTATGTTCATACTAATTCATGTCTTCATACATGTACTTTGGATAATGATGTCCATCACATTCCACCATTCTTACTAACCCCCGCCCTCTCCCTTCCCCTCCCACCCCTCTGCCCTATTTAGAGTTTGTCTATTCCTCCTGTGCTCCCTCTTCATACCCCACTATAAATCAGCCTCCTTATATCAGAGAAAACGTTTGGCATGTGCTTTTTAGAGATTGGCTGACTCCACTTAGCATTATCTTCTCTAGCGCCATCCATTTACCTGCAAATGCTATGATTTTATTCTCTTTTATTCCAGCCAAAGCACTTAAAGCTTTGAATGCTTATCTCTTGGGTAGTTTAAAGAACAAGCAGAGAAAAATCTTTTTTTTTTTTTTTTTGGTGCTGGGGATGGAACCTCTAGTCCCCAGGGAGATTCTTAAGTGGGTGGCTGTGAGACGGAGCCAGATTGCTGCCGAGGGCCAGTAGAGGGGGCCTGAATGCAGGTCAGAGGACTAAACGGGAAACAGAGCCCTTCCATGGATGAGCTGCAGGACCCTGGACACATCACCTAACTTTAATCCTGAATCCCATTTCCAGGGGCATCAGCAATGATCTCCGTAACTAGCCTCTCCTGAGAGTCAGAGCAGCCCCTCAGAAACCTGCTGTGTGGACAGTCCAGGAAGGCCCTGTGGCACCTCAGCAAGACCCAAAGGCTTTGTTTCTAAGGAGAAATACATTCTCAGTTCTAAAAATAGCACACACGGCTCTGCAATGCCCCTCCTCGGGGGTTGGGGTCATCTCTGCCCTTTTGAGGGTGTCATGAGAAATTCCAAAGTTGTCAAAGTATTTTAAGATCTTCTTTGAAAAAGAGAACTCTGTGTTTTCCACTCAATCTCCACCCAGTCACCAAATTCCCCTCTCCCGGAGTAAAACCTATTTCTTGCCTAATAGAAACCAATCCAAAACAGACACAGCAATCAGTTCCTTACCTTTTTCACAAAGGAAGACTTGGCACTCTTGAATTCGGAGCCTTGGCATATATACGGTGTTCTTTGCTGTTTCTTGACTGCAGAACCGAGGAAAAGAGATCAGAAATGAGAAGCCACAGGTGGTGTGCACTGCTGGGTGGGACTCGTCACTCAACCTGCGCTGCCCAATGACGCTCATCCTGCTGATCTCACTAGGTCCCTTGGGTCTGACGACCAAGATCCCCCTCCCTATCAGATTAGACCAAGAGGGGACAACTATGTGGCCTTAGGCAAGTTGCTCCCCTCTCCCTAGCCCTGTTTCCTCTTCCACAAAATGTTTTTAAAAGGACCCAGAGTGAAAGCACCTAGAGTCCTGTGTCACATAGTTAGCTGGTCCCTAAATGGTACCCTCTTCCCTCTGTCCTTGCCCAACATGAGGAAGTCAGATTTGAGTCTCCTCACCTGCAACTCCAATTTCCTACCCAATTATGTTTCCAAAACTGAAAACTCAGGGGTGAGGCTGGGACAGGATGGTGCAGTGCTTGCTTCTAGCAAGGCCTTGGGTTCAGTCCCCAGCATGCAGAAAAGCAAACCAAAGCTTAAAATATCCAACTAAAAAAATCAAATCCACGACAACCCCATCAAGGCTATGAGAAGGGATTTTTGCCTCTGTCTCCTGCGCTGACGTGACTGTGGCTTTTCTCTCTTAAAGCCTTCTTCTCCAATTCAAATTTCTCAATTGCCTTAAAAAAAAAAACAGGAAGAAAAAAAATGGGGCATTAGGGATTAATGCAAATCCTGGGGACCAAGGCTTCTTCCTTGTTGGTACCCAAAAGGCTTGGAGAAGTCTGTGGCCAACACTTCCTGTCTTCCCCCAGGCGGCACCATCTGTGCCCCTCAGTGTCACTGAATCCTCCCCAAGTGTCATCAATCTGTCTTCCACACCACAGTCCTCTCACACTGCCCCTCTGAGGACAGGATTTGGAACAGGGTTCCAATCACAGCCTCACAGGTTATAAGCTCCAGTTGAATTTCTCTGTAAAAGGGGATAACGATACCCACCTTCATGAAGGTCCTTACAAGGATCAGAGATAAAGTATCTTATGCACTTTAAAATACTCTCACAAAGGCTAGCAGATAGGGCTGCTCACTAAGGGGAAACCACTATTGTTATTAATCATGACACCCCTGACCTCACAAGAGTCGTCTCTTGATCACTCTGACTCTCCACTCCTGCCCCTTAGGAAAGGAAAGAAAGAAAAATGAACGTCAGTGACCCACAAGTTGCACTGATCATCAACCAAAAGCCCAGCACTGCGTTGGGACAGCAGTCATCCCGTGCCAGGTGCCTGCCGTCTACCAGATGGAACAGAGGCTGGGGAAGCCATCTGGCA